AGAAAAATGTCAAGAAACAAATGAAATTGACAAACTTGTTGAAAAGCAAAATAATATAACTAATAAATTAAAAAAATGTTTACAATGTTTTATATCAAACATTGATAACAAAAAGCGAAATTGCCCTAATTGCAACACCAAATTACCAACACTTACTTCAATAAATCAAGCTTCGTCTAATCAAGCTTCATCTTTTCAACAACCGTTAGTATCAGAAGATACAAATAAAACAATAATATTTAAGCCTTACGAATTTAAAGAACTAAGCGAATCTAGTATTAAAGTACAAAAACCTAGAATTAGTATAACACAAAAAACTATAGCAAATCAAAATGTAAAGATTCTAGAATTATACGTTCCTGATCCAATTCTTGTTAATCCTAATTCTTTGGCAAATATTCGAAAAGTTTTAGAACATATTGAAATAATTGCTGAAATTAAGTCCGGAAAGCGTAAATAGATACCTGTTGTATGTGATGGTGTATCATATAACCAAGCATTAAAGTTAAGAAAAGACTTTCCACGGTTAATTTTACTTCTGGGTGCTTTACATGAAAAGATGAATATGCTTAAAGCATTTGTTGAGCTAAACTGGTAAAGACTAATTTTTAAATATATATTATTATTTTTTACTTACGCTTAACTTTTTAATTTTAAGGGAAATAGATATAAAAACATTTGCTTGGTGCCAAAGATATCGAACAGATAAGCAGTTAGAATTTTTTTGTAAATGTACTGATCACCATAAATCGTGGGACTCAATATATAATATCTATCGCTATTCTATAGCATCAGAGTTAATTTGGCTATATGTTTTAAACCATAACAATTCAACTCCTAATGGATATTTGGAATGGGCCAAAAATCAAACTAACGAAATATATAAATTAAAATTTGAACAGGTTAAATATTATTTTAATTTTAATTGTAATATAAAAACATAAAGATACTAAAATATAATTAATAATATAGTGATAATAGACTTTTACTTATCTTTAGGCTATTATTGACTTTCGTACTGGAGTTCGAACTAATCAACCATTATTGCGTAATACAGCTAGACGTCAATTTGCATCAATTTGGTTATCTAGACATCATTCAATTTACAAAATGCTCGAAATATCATATGAAGAAAATTTATTATATTTGAAGCCTCATATTCGTGAAATTATTGAAAATTTCTCTGTTGTATTTCGTTCTGGGCTTCATAATCAACATCAGGGGCTTAACGCTATTGTAGAAGAAATCAATAAAGCATTAAAGTCATTAATTCCTCCAGTACCATTACAACGTCATTGGGAAATTGCTACCAGAAATTTTACAAAAGTAATTCAGAAAATCTGCTTATTTTAAAAAAAATTCAACT